TTGATCTAAAACATTCATATTTTCACTATCATATGACCCAATTCTCTTACACAATTCTACTGAATGTATAGAATTAACGGAGTATCCCCTAAATTGCGAATTTCACGATTCCTATTATTTCCACAAAATTATTTGTGGGCATATATTAATTGGAATGCGTAATAATGTACAAAAATGACTTACATCTTCGTGCATATAACCGGATTTGATACGACGTTTTTGATTCTACCTTTTCAAGTTCTTATGACGTTTTATATTATTCTGTCATAATTTTCATAAACACAAGGTTATGTGTATTTAACGAACATCATCAACAGCCCAAAGAAAAGGAAATGGTTGAAAGGAATGAAACAATTAGGGCAGTAACGTCGGTGACTGTCAATTAAGTAAACTCATCTACGCAATATTTGGGGTATAGGAATAGTGGTACAAGTTAAGCGAATTGGAGGTAAAATAAGTATTAAACTAAGTATAAGAAAGTTGTGGTGTCCATAAAGATCTTTCTTGATAAAGTTTGATAAATGAAACCAAGCGAAAGCAAAAAAATTAAAGTTGATATGAAGGAGAACAAACCTGTTGGAATTAACGAAGCATTCACATAGATAGAGTCAAAGATAAACTAAGAATCTTAGAAAGAAACGTCATGAGAATCTTGGGCAAAAAAATCTAAGAAAAATAACTTATTAAACGATTATTTATCTACGAGATAAAAGTAAATACTTGAATAATATTGTCTAATTATAGAGGATTATAGATCGATTATAGAGGACCTTCTTTGTGCTTACCTCAAAAGTCTTCTTAGTGCTTTTGCGGCTTTCTAAATATGAGTTTTTATTCTGTACTTCCCATGTGTCCTTAATATTGTAACCCAGGTAGCACATTTTCTCTATTCTTACTACCCGTTTATTGTAAATCGGGACATGTACATTGGTATTCTTACTAATAATCAATACTTTTGTAGTTACTCTGTAGTCAATGCATGAAGCAATTAATAGATATCTTTTGAGATATGTATCATAACTGTATTGCTAAAGTAATACAAGGAATATAATTGATAATACTTAAGAGTTCGTGGCTCTCGTCCGAAATAACCTCTCCATAATTTTAAACATCTTATATTAGAAAATGCTCCAAATGGAGACAGTGATAAGGTCAGAGATAAAATTTTTTGTTAAATTTTCGAGGATTCTGAAAATATTTTATCAGATACGTTTGTTAAAGAAAGTTTATCGAAGTTAGAACAAATATATACTACAAACGGAGAAAATTTAACCTGCTTCGTGAATCATGTGAAGGTTTTTCCAAGCTTATTACAGAAATTAATTTAAAGTTTTCTGAAACATACCAATGAGGATGAACTAATGGGTTGTTTGAATTTAGAATCAAGTACAGTCCTAGATATAATTCTTCTTCTTTTGGTGCCTATCCGTTTAGAATCTTGGCGATCATCATGACAATTTTTACTTTGTTCACAGCTCGTCCTTGTTATTGAGCCAGGAAATATGTCGTTTTACCACACACTTTCCCTTCAATAACCAGCTGAAGAAACCATTTTTCTCATTATTTCCCATAATATGGCCTGAGTACTCCAATTTTTTGGTTGACAAAGAAGAAGAAGAAACTCCAATTTTTTTATTATAACCACTGGTTAAATGACTCCAAATTAAAATGAAGCGTCGCAGGACACAATTCCCGACTGAAAGATAAGAGATGGATCACGAAATACAATAATGGAGACCATGGTTAGGAATGAGAAGCAGAGGAAGACCACAAATAAGATCTTCTTCTTCTTAATGTACCTATCCATTACGAATGTTGAAGATCATCATGGCAATCTTTATCTTATCTGCAGCAGCGCGGAAAAGCTGCACAGATGTTGTAGCGTTCTTCTTCTTCCTGGACCTAGCTTTCTAAATACTTTTCCTTGCAGGATGGCTTGAAGGAGAGCATATCTAGATTCATTTTGCATAATATGTCCGAAGAATTGTAACTTTCGAGATTTGATGGTGATCGGTACCTCTCGGTTCTTATTCATTCTTCTGAAGACCTCATTTGTGACTCGGTCAGTCACGTATCTTAATATCCAATATCTTAGTATCCAATATAGCAACGGTAATCCACGGTATCTTAGTATCCAATATAGCAACATCTGAAATGCTTTCAGTTTTTTGCACATATCTTCGTTCAAGGTCCACGGTTCAACAGCATAAAAAAGGACAGAGAAGACGTAGCATCGCAACATTCATAGAAGACACTGGATTGATTTGGGGGAGGCCTATGTCCAAAGTTGGATTACTTAAGGATGAAGAAGAAGAAGGTTGAAAACGAAAGTCAAATATTTGGTCTACAGTTAAACATATCAAAGACGAAGATAATGATAGTGGATAAACTACATAACAATCATCCACACATAACCACGATTGACCGGTTTGAGGTTGTGGGTTCATATTTATATCTGGGATCATTAATCACAAACACATGGACCACTGCAGGAAAAAGTAAAATGTAAATATGATCTAGCAAAAGTGGCTGTAGGAAATATGGACAAAATATGGAAGGACTTTTAAATTTAATTCTAAAAATGAGGGTTGATCAACAGCTTAATTTTAGAAATTCTGATCGAAAATTATCGGGACCTGTTCCCGTGTCGTTCTTACAACCAATCCTACATCATCTGGTGTAAGTGGTGGAACTGTTCTTTCCTCGATGGCATAATTAGACTTATGTCGTTTACTTACATATTTCCTACATTTCCTTGATTGTGTCTGTTAGGCATTTAGCTTATTTGGGTCGGTAGAAACTTGCTGCAGCTTTAACTCTCATAAACTTATATTTTTTTTATGAATTTATGATACAATATGATATTCTCTCCCCATAGAACGTGCTTTTAAAACTTTTGATTGGGATCATAAAGGAATAAGTGTCAACGGGGAAAAACTGTACCACCTGTGTTATGCTGATAACATAGTTTTGATAGGAGATGACCTAGGCGAAATCAACACATATATTATCTTAGAAGAACTAAAAAGAGCCTGCAGAAAAATCGGTTTAAAAATAAAAATCCCAAAGACAAAACAAAACACAGACGAAGTAAAACTTGTTGATAAATACATACACATTGGACACGGAATTAGAATAGGCAAGGGCAACCAAACAGGTGAGGTATCAAGAAGAATATCAATGAATGGGCAGCACATGGAGCTCTTAAAACCGTGTTTGAAGACGACAACATACCCATTACCTAATCTGAAGCAGAAAGTGTTAGATCAGTGTGTGCCAATAATAACCTATGGTGCGAAAACACTGTCCTTAACCAAAAACAATGATTCAAAACTAAGAATAGTACAAAAATAATGGATCGTTTAATGCGAGGAGTAACAATAAAAGACAATATTGCGAACCAAGACCTACGAAACAGAGCCAGAATTACAGATATTGTAAAAAGAGTTAAACGAATGTACACCAAGAAGAAATAAACGAAACAGAGGAGTACCACTACACGATGGTGAGATCTGCGAAAGATAAATAAATGAATCCATACTGCACAAGACTGCATACTCTGAATACAAACAAGGGAGGCCTATGTCCTCCAGTGGACTTAAAACATGCTGATGATGATAATGAAGATTCCTGTGATAAATTCTGGACTGCAAAATCGCTATAAAATCTTGTTATTGGACGATACATTATTGGTTGCTTTCCGAGAACAAAACAATGAACAAATAGTGAAAAATTTGGCGAGAGAACCCAAGAAATTCGTTAAAAAAATTGCAAATACAGTGGAACCTCGATTATCCGTCAGGGCACCGGACCAAGGGTATGACGATAATCGAAAGACGGTTAACAGAACATTAAAAAAAAATTCATAGTATAACTCAAATTTTATTATTTTGACAATATAAGAGGGATTTATGTTAGTACAGTCGAACTAATCTGATTTAAATTATTCCGAAATCTTTGTTTGTTTTATTGTTACTTCACATTCAGCTTCTCTAGCTTTACGCAAATCTTTGTGAGTTGCATATAGCATCATCAACATTGCCACCATCAAAGTCTCTGTTAGCTTCTGAATCAGTTTCGTCCGCCTCTGTTGCCATTTCAACGATTTCATCATCTGTCAGCAATCGATAGCCGTTTGCGTCCTTATCACAAATTAACCATTCGTTTATGTCATGCCCTGAATATGTTATTCCACGCCCTGTTCAACGTTACTTCCGAAACATCAGCCCAAGCATCCACAGCATTGTCGACTGCGTGTTTTAAATTGTATGCTTCCAGTATTTTGGCAAAGAATATTCCTCTTTCATAACTAGGTTTTGAATAAAATTCTTTTCTGTATCTTCCTTTGAATGTTTCAATGACCGAACGGTCCATTGTCTGTATCAATGATGTTGTATTCGCAAGAGAAAAGAGTACGTGATTTTTTATTGTCACTCCGCAGCATACCGGCTTTAGGATGGGCAGGTGCATTGTCCAAAATGAGAATCGTCTTTGGTGGAGAATTTTTTGCAAACAAAATGAATTGATGAGTAAATTTTTACTTATGTTGTCAATATACCTTATGTATGGACCCTGACGGTTAACAGAGTTGTGGTTAATAGAGAGACGGATAATCGAGGTTCCACTGTATTCATTTTAAGAAAAAAAATAAACAAAATATTTGAATTTTACCATTGTTCAATCCACAGAGTTATATATAATAAAATATAACTAAATTTCTGGAAACACTTCGCTCTTATTCCCACAATTGCAATTTCTGCAGTAACACCTACTGATTTTATTTCGAATAAAAATCATATTTGACGCCACTATCAGGAATTTGCAATATTTTTTACGCGCCCATACCACGCTGTCACAGATTGTACCCTATTCACACAAATCGACCAATCTCAATTCTCCAATTTACTGAAATTTTCAATTCGAGTAGTGGGGGTAAACAGCGCAACTAAGAGGGAGTTGCTAGACCGTCAGAAATTTTCGTTTGGCAGTCGATCTCACGACTTTGTGGCGGCTCGACCAGAGACGTTGCTACCCTTATACTTTACAACCCCTGTTTATTTTGGTTTTGGTTTGCGACTATTATTATTTTGGTGCGCGGATTTTGTTCTGTGGACTGCGTAGTGACAGTTGCTTAATTTTGCTTCTTAGTTTTGTGATTTAAGTGTACTTTATAGCTGTATATTGGATTTTGTTTTGAAGTTTGAACTGTTTTTTATTGACGATTGGTGCTTTGAAATGACCTAACAACTTATATGGGATTCTGAATAAGGTAAAATACAAGATTATAGATATTACTGTTTTTCTAGACTAAATTTTTAAATTTAGCGGCAAATATGTTCGGACGTTATGTTTTTAAAAATTGTGTCAGCTTGTCCTCTATATTAAATATGTACTAGCAGAAAGTTGGAACTTTTTAAAGAAAACATGCTTTTAAGAAAAGAATATTTGTAAAACTGCATGACATTTCATTAAAAAATGTACATGTTTCGTTGATTGAGAATTACATGAGTATAAATCTTATGTTTAAATACAAACATTCTATAGTTTCGTGCATAAATTGACATATATTTGTTGCCAATATTGTTTACTTAGACTTATGTCATTTTTAGACTGTTTTATTGCTAATAGTGCTGAATTAATGGAAAACTGACGTCCGATATCAATGCCGAAACGTTGATGAAAGCTTGATATCGCCAATTGTGGTGTATATTCCTCAAAAAAAAAAAAAAAATTTCTCTGCGTCTGAAACTTTGTAATAATAATGCAGATTTTATTAACCACCACTGAATGCATAAAGATGAACTAAATCTAAGTATATTCTTTTTTTACTGGTAAAAAAGAACTCAGTTTAATCAGTACTATAATTTGTTATTGTAAAACATTATCAAAATGGCAGTACTTTTTTTTTCGATAATTCTCATGTTTTTTTTAATGTTGTTTACACTACACTCTTCTTTGTACTACTTCCGTCTTTACCCTTATTTCTTGTCGTTTGTCGTTGGTAATTAATTGTGCATAAACTTTCCATTATGTCTAAACACACATTACACTTGAACATCTTAGCCTACCATAGAAAGAAGTTAAAGTATTTCATTACTCAAAATTTGATACATTTATTATAAAACACTTATAACACCTTTAGCCCCTTTCACACAAAAAATTATCTGGCTCTGCAAACTGGGCCTCAAAGATTCTATTACTTCTTCGTTCAAAGAAAACTTATGATATTTTAGATTATTTTACCTTTATCCAAAAAACTATTCATGGTTCTCCTTGGCAAGTCCAAACAACTAAAGCAAGATCTGTTCCAGTAGATTTTTGAACACCAAATTTCTTAAGCCTTGGAGAAAAAGAGTGTCTCCACTCTCGTGAATTGCTGCTTTATTTCTGGGTCATAGAAATGTACCTACCCAAGTTTTATACATGACTTAAGAAGTTTGTATCTTGTTCAATACGGACTGGACGGAGAATTGCTAACTTAGTACTTGTTTTCACAACTTTCCTATCCACGCTTTCATACTTTTAATTTTTGGTTATATCTTTGCTCGCGAATTTTACAACGGATCAAAATATTGTTGTTATGTTACTGCTTAAATATCTTTATCGGTGTATTGAAAATATATCTTTGTGGGAATTCATTTATTTTATCACATTCTGCAATTTCTTCTATTTATATTTCATCATTGGCACAAGATGAGAAGTATTTTAGAAATAAGTACCAGCTGTTGAGGAAATTGGCCATAAAATAAGAAGCTTCCAAAACTATAAGGAGTAATAGTAAATAAAAAACACATCAATTAATACCACAGTTAAAGGCGGTGCAAAAAATAATGAAAATATATTCAACAACATAGCTGCCACGTTTTTAGGGGATTTGGATTTTCTGAGTGTTTCTACTTCAGTTTCTTCAAGTTTACAGTTTTTACAAAAATATTCATTTGATCTTTTTTAACGAATTTTGAATATTGTCTGGTGCCACCTCTACGAAATGTCATTTAACAAAACTAATGACATAACAAAAAAATAAGCAAATATTTAATTTAAAATCAGTGTCTTAATTATAGTTATTAATTTCGTCACAATTTAGACGTGCGGCTTGTTTGTGTAACAATGTTAGTAAGTCTTTTTAGACTGAATTTCCATGTGTTTAAAGAAAATTTGTTTTGGATACACTACTGAAACGAACTCATATGAATTACTATCCAAAACACTATAAAAACTATTGTAGTTAAAAATTCATTCAAGTTTTTCATCACAAATTTAGCCAAATATTTTGGAATCACTTGCAGTTTACTTTCTTACCTCTATAGAAGTAGAATCCCATAAAATTTAGTTTTTTATCTGTTAAATGCGATATATAAATTGAGTTTTCCCAATATATAAACCATAATGTCACGTTGAAACGATTTCCTTCGCATAAAAATGTTTTATGAAGTTACACCTATTGCGATTTTTATTAATATCCTCTGCAATATGATCCTATAAATAATAACATTTTTTTTTTGGTTGTACCACTTCCAGAAACATCAAAATCTCTTTCAATATTCACCACAAATGATCGACAATGAAATGCCCAACCTCTACATATTTTTAAAATGCCTATTGCAGTGCGTATTTGATTCCACAGTATAATCTCTTTACATTTTATGCAAAAGAGGATTTGTCACTTATAGTAAGATGTTTGACGTTTCTAAAGGATTGGAAATGTATATCTGAAATTATTTTTGCTGTATACAGTGACATTAATAATCTGTAATACGAGAAGAATTTACATGTACCGGAAGCAGTGATCTGTGTTTTCTTTATTTTTGTAGTTCTTATTCCAGTGGAATAAAAAACACAATACATATATCGAAACGATAAAGCATATGCTCATATCTGGGCGGAAATGGAAGTTACGCAAGGATATGTGCTGTATCCTATTCTGTTTAATATATATGTTTATGTTTATAAGGAATACATCACAGCAAAACAAACGAGTGTAAAAATTAACGGAATTACACTGAATAATATCCAATACGTCGATGATACGATAATACTGACAGAGACTACAAAACCACGCAAAAATTTGGTGAAGACATTGACAGAAGCCAACAAAAATTGGGGTATCGCAATTAATATATCAAAAACCAATTCCTGTAATTGGTAAAAGCAATAATTATATCTTCTTCTTCTAGTGAAAACTCCACACTGTCTTCTGCTTTTCTTAAAAGCGTCTGTGTGGTTAACCCGATCCAATCGCGAATGTTTTCAGCGAGAAGATTTGTCATCTACCAGGACCCTTTTCGATTTTACACTTCATAATCAGCTGCAACAACTCGTGCTTCTTATTTTTATGTATATTGTCTTTCTCCTTTTAACGGTGGTCAAAAGTTCTCTGTCTCTTTCCATTATGTGCAAATTGTATACGATCCATTGTATTTTAAAATTCCTCTAAAAAGCCACATATCAAAAGCTTCCAGCTTTCTCATTAAGTCATTAGTCCAAGTCTGGCACCATAAAGAAGAATATAGTGCATATAACATTTTACGATCCTATATCGGATTTGCATTTGGTTACTTAGAAATTACCTCATCTTCAAAAAGGCTGCTCTTGATTGCTCTGTTCTTGGATCCCTGTTATAACCTTACCCCTCTTACTGATAACCATGTTTTTTATGTAAATGATAATGATCATGTTATTTTCTGCAATTCCTCTATTTCAATGCATGTTTCCATCATCCATTTTTCCTTAGCCTTTTTTATTTTGTTCCTTATTAATATATGTTTTCTCTGTATTTATCTGGGATTTTGTTTCTATATTTTGTTCTTTGATCCATGATATCCAGCCCATATGCTAACAGCAATTATTCAAATAAATAGAACATTTGGGTATTTGGGCATAAATCAACTATTTCAAAGAGATATACGAGAAACAGAAGTTTCCAAATAGACTGGGGAATATAAAATAGTTATAAAATAGACTGGGGAATATAATCAGCTGCTATTGATTGTAGAAGGGAAGAAAAAGAGAACAAGTAGATATAGAGAAAGTAATCGTGGCTCTTAGTAGCACTTAGTAGAAGGAGGAAGATTTCAGTACTTCTCTATATTTTTAATTCATATTTCTAACACATTTATTTCCCTGAATAAGCCTAGCCGGTTTTAGTCATGCATTAACTTCCCCTTTTGGAGTCTTGGTCTGTCGATTCGTAGGTACCTGCCTTGATTAAGAGATCTAACCAATTCTTTATTTCATTAACAATTTGTAAACTTTATATTCTAAATTATAGAAAAAGTTCTACAATGGTTTGTATTCAAGTTCAAATGGTAATTTTCGATAAATAATAAGATGGTGTGTGAATGTTTCGTTTTGTTTGCATGATGATCTTCTTTCATACTTAAGTAAGATTTAATGGTTGATTTTTCTTCTAAATGATTATTATCTTTGAATCGTGTTTCAAGGTTTCTGTACCCTTGTACCATCATTTGCTACCCCGGCTAATGAATGAAGTCTACAGTTAAGGCAAAACCGACAGCATGTAATTAATATTCATATATTTTTTGCTATCCTTTCAGCCTGTTGATTAGATTTTTCTCATAACTTGAGTTTTCCTCGTCTGTCAGTAGGATTTCAAAAACAAAACAAAATAAACCTATTTTAAACTTAAATTGTAGCTAATTCTCAAACAATAATAGTAATTGCATTAAGATGCCACAAGAAAATAGTTTCAGAACAGTATTAGGATTTCATTTTATTGGAATGTTCTTGGACCATTTACTATCAGTGGCATTCATATAATTCAGACTGAAACAATTCAACTTTTATTTATGTCAGTTATATCTTCGTTATTTGTATAATGACTTCAACACCTTTTACGTTTTTTTATTCGAAAACGATAAAATGATGTAACTCGAAAATTTTGGATCTATCTTTATTTACATTAAAAGGGGACAACCCTACCAACGATTCTGTACTTTTCCGTTGAAAAAAGGCATGATCTTTCCAAATACATTCCCCTTTTTCTAGAAATTGTTAAACCCTCTCATTGTTCCAAGTTGTATATGTACCACCATTTAGACATTTCGCACTTACCCCACTGAGGGCATTGGTGTGAACGTTAAAAGGTGTTGCCAATTATAAATCTGCGACATAATAGTGAAAAGAGACGACAATGACGAACGAAGATAGCAGATAGTATTATCTTAGTTTTTTAAATATAAAAACGGTTGAAATGCCTACGTGACATATTTTTAGAAATGGTATATTTGTATATGGTTCTTTAATATC